CACGATGCGAACAGTCCGTCGTCACGCACCAACCCACGAAGTTGTCACCCCGCTTAGTCCTCCTGTGCCCGTCAGGTTCGCCCGCGCGCTACAGTCCGTCATAGCCCCACGCGTCAACCCCGCACATTCGGCACCGGCTCGTCGGGTTGCCCAACTCCCACTTCACTCACCTCTTACTTTGCTTGTGAGCCGACCCTCACTGATCGCGCTACCCCGAGCTTCCAGCAACTGTTTAAACCACCGCTACCCCCGACGTCGTAAAGTAGGGGGGACCGGTAGGCGGACATTAGCATTTCACCTTCGGCCTACCGGTAGTACAGTGTGGGCCTCATTTCATCCTTTTTTTTTTTTTTTTTTTTAACTCTCCAAAAAAAGAAAACGAAAACGTAACTGCAGGTGCCACCGCATTTCGTGCCTGAATACACTGCCCCTGACACGCATGGATGATTGCGGTGTACATTTCCGTTTTATGCTGGAAGGTTCACTGCGTGTTTTTTTTTGTTTTTTCCCCCAAAAAAAAACAAAGAATATGAAAAGTGTCGCGCCTGAAATGAAAACCGCGCGCCGACTTTTTCACAACTTCAGTTTTTTTTTTGTTTTTTTTTTTTTTAAGGTCGCAGACCCCCCTCCATTTCCGGCCCTAACTCCCCGGGAAGTCGACTTTAGGCAATGAGGGGGAGCGGTGGTTTAAGAGAGCTATCTAATTGCGCAGCCGAAATTTATAGCGTGCATGCATGCATGAAGAACACGGAATTGCAAAGACTTAGAAGGAGAGAAGGGGAGGGAGTGCCTACGTTCTGCATGGCCAGATCGCGGCGTGGGGGACGTAGCCACTCTCCACGCATCTATCCGATCATGCAGCCCGTGGGCCGACTAGACTCAGCAAGGAAGAGAGAGGGCGGGAAAGACGAAACTTCAAGAAGAAAGATACAGTCATAAGGGTGCCCCGCCCAAAATTACAGTTATATGCAAGATTAAGGGCGCCGACTGATCAGAGCTCCGTTGCGGCCGCAAAAAGAAATCCGCGAGCAAAAAGCATCGTGCGGCAAAAGAAATTCCGAATTCCTAAATTCCTAAACTCCCAATCATCCTGGGACTTGCCCAGCCCTGAACCCAGCCATCCGAAAAGAGGCGACGTAAAAAGACGAAGAAGCGAGGACACCGATGCAATTTTCCTTCGATCCCGATCTCCCGTAATTGGCCCAACCTTCCTATCTTAGGACCCCTCATTATAATCGCGCAGAAGATCGCGCGGAACAGAAATTGGTTCGTCACAAGGTATCTTGATGTTTGAGACACTGGGACTCACCCTGGGTGGAGCTGGACCTTGCTGGTCCTGCCATTAATGCTTCCAGAGTCGGCCACAACATAAGTCACTGGAACTGGACTGCTTGAGGCAGATTGCAGAGTCTCTCGTGACCGGCCGCAGCAGTCATAGCGTATGAGAACCTGCGAGTCGCCCAAGCACATGATTGGTCAGCCGATTCTCCGAGGAAGGAGTAGTTCTGCGTTGCCAATTTTGGTGAAGCGTCCCCACCCACCCAGGGCCTCTATTTTCCCACGGTGTGGGGCCCTGCGGCCCACCTATGTGACATTTTGTCTTTGGGTAACAGAAGCAGGCTATGTCCACGGACTCCGTGAAGTCAATGACTCAATGGTGAAGGTCACAGGTTGCGCCCTCGCATTGACTAGACACCTCAGTACCGTAGAGCATCCAGGCCATCTGTGGGGACTAAAAGGGGGTCAGATGCAGGCCATGGACCTGAGAATGCAGGCGAGGATTGGTGAGGAGCGCCACCTCCTGGGAAACGGGATGCCTATAGCGAAGTTGTGTGTGCTGGAAAACGGACAACTTTGTCGGGAGATTATTTAAAAAAAGAAGAAAAAAGGCAAGCGACGTGACTGTTGCCACTCACCGTTGATTTTTTTATTTTTTTATTTTTAAAAAGCTATATTCTTCTCTCATCTATCTCATTTTTCTTGCAAGTACTCAGCTATCTCATCCACCACTCGATGTCCGTTAGAATGCGTCGTTTTGTTCGACTTTTCACCAGCCGCCTGGTAGGTCCCCACCTACCCAGATCCCATACTTCAAGGGGCTGATTCGTCATAATCTGAAATCTCGGAATGAAGTAAAGAATGCTTGGTAGCAATTCCAACATTGTGTATGACGATCTGTTCCCTCCCAACATGGATTGAATGAATTGAAACGACAGCGAAAAACAGTGCTCGCCGTCGGTGTCTCGACTCTCGAGGCCTCGTTCCACCCACTCACAAGAGGCGAACAAAAATTGGGGGTGAGCGTACTTTTTCGAATAGAACATCACCGGGTGCATTCGTCACGGTTTTCCCATTCTGAAGCTCGTCATGGTTTTCCCATTCTGAGGCTAGTGGGACGAGGTGCTCGGTACTTGGGGCAACGACGCTCGACGTAATCCTATAAATATTGAGGTGAGGAGCGTGAGGGTATCACAGTGAAGGTGTTTCATTCCAACTTGTATGTTCTGGGAGTACTTCTCTTTGCCGTTGCAGCTCGTTAGCCCATCGCAAGTTGCAGTCTGGACTCTGGAAATTGAACAGCTGTTACCAGAGGAGGCGAATTGTGAGAGAGTGCAGCACGGAGGCAAAGAACTTATCGTGTCTGGATAGCCGTCGTTCGCGGAGGGGTGACTTGCACTCCTGCAGGACGATGACAGAGTGAGAGAAGAAGGAGAGGGTAGTTCGACATCGGTAGCGGCTTAATAGAGGCACCGCCCCATCAGTCAGTTTGCTGGTCCTTATCGATCAGACGAGCCTGTCAGAGCGGGGGCCTGTTACTGAGGAAGTGCGATGGAGTCGATCGCAAACGACCGTCGCGTTTGCGCACACTCTTCACCTCGCGTCACGATTGGTTGGGCGAGCGGAGTGATGGCTCCTTCCCAGAGCCGTGGGGTGGTCGTGTCACCCTGTGATGTGCCGAGCCCGGTGGTCTTTGTGGCCCTGAAGGCGACAGCAGATACGAAGGGCGCAGAAGTGGGGAGCGGCGAGCGGCCATCCAGCTCTCTGTTCTCATCATCGGGTGGTCAACGAGAGGGCGGCGAAGCGATGCGACCTACGAGAGGCGGGTCCGGTGGAAAGTCCAGGTCCTGCCCCACGATTACGGTCCGCTGGAGGGTTTCTGAGGTGGCAAGCACGCGACGGCGGCGGCCATGTCTCCCCGTCGTGGCAATCAATCAGGATGAAGGTCGAGAAGAGGTCCTGAAGAATTCCTCTTTGAGGCGGCAGTTTGACGAGTTTGACAGCAGCCGGTCCGGTGCCATTGGCGAAGAGGAACTGAGGAGAGTTGTGGAGAAGCTGAGGCTTCCCGTCTCTCGGAGGGAGGTGAAGGAGTATGTGCAGAAGGCGGGCGGTCGTGTGACGCTTGATCAGTTTGCGGAATTCGCGACTGGGTTGGCGAATAGGCTGCATGCCACATTCAAGGAGCTGGACAAACGACACACGGGTGTTGTGTCCAAGGAGGATATTCTGGAGGCCCTGAAGAGGTTCAATCTGCCGCCTAGGAAGGTGTATCGGGATGATCGACTGGTGGGCCCCGCTGTGGGCAAGCCTCCGTCCCAGGGGTTTGGGTTCGAAGACATGCGGGAATACCTGCTGTGGGCGAGGGATGCTGAAGAGGTTGTGGGCTCACCGGCACGCGCTSGAGCTGCGATAGACTTCGGCGGAGATTTCGACTGCAACTTGCCCCTCGCTCTCGAGAAGCGTGGCGTGATGCCCAACCTTCGCTTCCCTGAGCTGCAAACCATGAGAGATGTGGTCGCCGCCTCTATCTCCGGCGCAGTCGCTCGAACCGTCGTCGCTCCCCTAGAGAGGATGAAGATCATGCAGATGGTCGATCCCAGTCTCGCGAGGCAGGACCCTCGCGTGTTATTGAACCGCATCCGCACGGCCGAGGGTGACAGAGGGCTGTTCCGAGGGAACGTCCTCAACGTCCTGCGTCTGTATCCGGCCAAGGCGGTGGAAGCGCTAGTCTACAGGGCGTTGATCAATCGGTTTGACCCAGCTAGGCGAGGCGCAGCAAGTCCGGCTAAGAAACAAGGCAGGTCGGAGGCTGGAGAGGGGCAGAGACAGCCGGGATTGACGATGCCTGATTGGCAGCGAAACGCGATTGCGACGTTGGCATCAACGGCCGGAATCCTTACGTCGTATCCTATCGACACACTAAGAGTTGCAGTGCAAGCGCCGATCCGCGGGTTGGGGGCCGCGGCAGGGGCAGTGACGGACGCAGTTCGGGATACCGTCGGGGGGGTAGGTGGTAATGGAGGTCGAGGTGTGGGAGGGGCCGGGGCAGGTGTCAGAGGGGTGGGAGGGATGGCCAGGGCGGACGGTAGGGGGGCTCGCGACATCGCGAGAGCAGCCATGAGGCGCCGAGGCGTTAGAGGGTTCTACGACGGCATAGCTCCGCAGATCCTTCGCTCGATTCCTTACTTTATCCTCAGCGGGTACGTCTTTTCCGCAGTCGAGCGCTGGTACAAGAAGAGAGAAGGCCGTGCTAATGCCGAACTTGGGCCCGTGCCGACCGTATTGATAGCCACGGCGGCGGCGCTGTGCGCGCAGACTGCGCTCTATCCTTTGGAGACCGTTCAAAGGAGGATGCAATTGCAAGCAACCTTGGGACCCGCCTCAGGGCGGGTGTATTCCAGCATGATGGACGCCTTCAGGGAGATCACTAGGAGGGAGGGAGTTGGCGCACTGTACTCGGGACTCGCGGTCAACAATTTGAAGCTCCTTCCAGCGGCCGCCGTCTCTTTTGCAATCCACAACTCCGCGCGGAATCTCTGCGACGCGTACTAGAACTCCGTGTTGTCGAGGGGCCTCCTTGGACTCGTATTGGACACAAAATGAGGAGGAGGAGGAGGAGGAGGAGGAGCAGGAGCAGGAGGAGGAGGAGAAGGAGGTGGAGGGTGGGCGTATAATGAAACTCGTAGAAAGGGTATTGTTTTCGAGCCGTATGTTGTACGGATAGAGAGATGAACGTGCGTTCTACGGAGAGAAGCAGGGATTTATGTGGATTTCAAAGCAGCTAGGTAGCTACCTGCTTCGATAAATGTAGATTTAGGGGGGAGAGAGGTGATGAGTGTGGTTGGGGTATTGGGTAGAGGAGAGGGAGGAGTGGGGAAGGTAATGCTATCGAGGGGAAGAGACCTAGCACTTGGTTGGTCATTCAGCGTCAGAAGACGATATTTGTGCATGATGAATCACGAGAGAGAGAGAGAGAGAGAGAGAGAGAGAGAGAGAGAGAAAAGGCAGTGTGTTCTTTGAGGTTGGAGGGGGTGGAAGCGGGGGGAGGTGTTGGGAAGAGGTGATTAGCAATCGAAGCAGTGTACTTCGGGAGGAGGAACAACAGACCCTGTGCAGTCCCTAATTCGGCCTTCAATCGTTCGTCAACGCAAATAGATTCAATCGTTGGGAATTCGAGCAGCAGCTCTAGCAGTCGCTGGAAGGTGACGGTGCAGGGATATAGATGGTCCTGTACTAGACTGTGGATATTACCTGTCCCACGTGGCGAGACCGGAAGTGGATCGAGTGGTCACGTGGATCTCGATTCCTGAAGTCAAGCAGGCCGTGGTATCGCTGAGTTCTATGTAGGCTTAAAACGAAAGAAATGAAGTCCGTTATAGTTGATGTGAGGTCATTGTTTGACTGGTGTGATGGTCGTGGAAGTAATGTTTTTTCTGGCGTGATGGTCGTGGAAGTAATGGTTTTTCTGGCGTGATGATCGTGGAAGTATAGCTGAGCTCTATATGGGTGAAGAACGAAAATAAACAAAGTCTGTAATGGTTTGACTGGTGCGGTGGTCGTGGAAGTTCAGCTGAGCTCTATATAGGTTAAAAATAAAAGAAAGAAAGAAAGCCTGTAATCGTGAAGGTTAGGTCGTCAGCCGAAGAGCAGAGGGCTCGAGTGAAATGTGCCTTGTGACGACAGATGTGGTTACTTCACCGGATATTTGGAGCAGTAAACTGAAGCTGGGCTCGGTGTCTGGTTACTCCGGGTTGCATGTGATGAATTCCAGCCTCATTCTGTGTTTTCGTTGAATGTAAAAGGAGTCCTTTTTTTTTTCGCAGAAAAGAAAAGAAAGGTGAGGTCACGGTTCGACTGGAAACTAAAGATGATTTAAGCTAGCCTGGAACAGGAAACGTGAGGGAGGGAGGATTCCACGGGAAAGTTTGTAGTGCGTGACATGAATGGTGGTGATGAGTACGGGGATGCCACGTATGTTGTGGTGGTGCAGGAATTCGCCTCTGAATACATGCTTCGAGTTGTTTGCGAACGCTACTTACCGTTTTAGAGCTATTGATTGTGGACGTAACACGCATGTCATGGTTAGTCGTGGAAAGGAGTTATAGCTGACGTTGAGCTTATTGTTCGACAGACTCGACAGGAAATTCTCAGTGGTTTTATTGCTTTGCCCACCGAGTGGGGGGAACTGCTCAGTGTAGGTGTAACGTTGAGCCATTGTTGGATTTCCGGGATATTGGCAGAGAGCGCCCACACACTCGTACACACCCAGCCTCACCGACACACAATCACAGTCTGTTTAAGTGTATGGGTGTTCACTGTTCACTGAATGTTATGTGTGACACTGTGTACCCTAAAACGATATCTCACACGTCTTGGAACACCTTGCATAGATGTATGATGTGCTTGTAAGTTCTTTTCATGTTCTCATCCATATCAGAACCGACTATGGCGCCCCTATATTTGCTGGTGCAGCAGTAGCGTTTCAATCAGTGACACCCTCCTTTGTTCTCTATCCCATTGAAGATGTAGGAGACGGGGGCAGAGTATATGGGAGGTGGGTGGGCAACAAGTCAGCTATGAGGCGCAAGAGAGGCAAGGCAGGAGAGTAATGAGGCAGCCAGCAGGGCAGCACCATGAGCTGCAAGGCGAGTTTGGCAACAAGGTGGTAAGGATGCAGAAGTGTAGCACTCTGAGAAGCAAGGCAAGGAGGGGACAAGTAGTAAGGCAAGGCAAACAGGAGGGCAGCACGGGGAAAAGTGGGGCCACAACGCTGAACAAGGCAGCACGATAAGGGACGTAGCTGGGCAGCGCAGGACCAACGAGGGAACAAGAGGTAAAAGTCAGAAAGGCAGCAAGCACTGGACGGGAAGGAACAGCGTGGCTTATAGGCTGGAGGGCACGTGAGTGTTAGTACGTTCATGTCACCTTCGAGTATCGAATGGGGGAAAAAACTAGCGGCGGCGAAGGAAACCGCACCGAGTTCGTCAAGGCTGTGGTGTCAGACCGGGTTGGTGCGTGGTTTCTTTGCCGGACCAAGTTTTTTCTGCCTTTAGGGTTTCCCGCCGTTATTTCAAGAATGAAAGGATGTCGTTATTTCAAGAATGAAAGGATGCCGACGCCCATTGGCTGGAAGGCATGGGGGAGGTGACGCGGCAGTCAAACAAGAATGGCAGCACGACAAGGAAAGCACGGAAGCAATTCGATGAGCAGGAATGCAATAAAGCAGCGTGTGAAAAGATATGTCAAGCGCCAGGGCAACGACTCTGCAAGGTAAACAGCATTACAGCATGACAAATAGCGAAGGAGGCAGGTGACAAGGCAGGGAATGGGAAGCACCACTGCATCAGCAAGCGAGATAAGGCAATGCAGTCAGACAGCATGGATTATAGCAATATCGTTACCCACTCACACCACAAGTTGAACTCTAGGGACTTTTGGTTCACGCCACCATCAGAGCCAGGGCGTTACTTTGACTTATCACCCATAAAACACCCAGCTCTGCACCTGGAGTTAGCAGCACTCCATACGAACAGGCAATGAGGGTGTGGCACATCTTAAACCGCCAACCGGTCGCTCACTCAGATTGGGTGACGATCGGAGGGAAGGCCAGTACACTTTGTCTGTCAAACCTGGTGCTTTCGACAGGAGTGACAACAGCGCCTGATGGTTTGAATGGCTGAGATCTGTCCTCGCAGACCGGTAAACTCTAGACTGCAATTATCTCCGCAGTTCACAGGTTTGAATGGCTGTGATCTGTCCTCGCAGAGAATATGGTAGTCTTTCACTGTTTCTCTCCTCTCTCTCAGTTATGTTGTTGCGCTCTACTCTTTTGCTGGTGTTTTTTTCTGTCACGGCAGGGGTTCCCCGCATTGCCTGCAATAATCTCCTGAGTTCACAGGGCTTCTCACAGCAACACGAATTCACACCATCACCACAAGCTCTCACAGGAGATATTCTGAGATACATATCACACAATTTGAGAAAACTTCAGAAACTGTTCCAGAATTAAGTCTTATAGAACAGAGTCTCGATGTACAGTGTACACACAGGGTGGCTATGGCGGCCGGCTCGGTACCGAGAACAATGAACAGTTACGTTTTGCTCCCTGTCTCTCTCCTTGAATTACTCTCAGGGGCCTCTCTCTCTCTCTCTCTCTCTCTCTCTCTCTCTCTCTCTCTCTCTCTCTCTCTCTGTGTGTGTGCAATAACCCATGCCATATGTCGTCTGAGGGCCGAAAGCGGCACCCCTTTCAGGCCACATAAGGGGTAAAGGCCCTAAGTCTGCTACAGGGCCCGGAAGCCAGGCAGTTGACCTTAGTCAACTGCCGGATTTCCAAAGGTCAAAATCGATGTGTACCCAGCCCAGGCCGCCGGTCAAGCACACACACTTGTTTGTATGCAGGTACGCGGACAGCACAAAGCCAAGTGGAAAACTGCAGCTGTACACGATCCAGACCTTCGACGGCGGGTCAATCTGGACGACTGTGACTCGTGGACTGGAGGCCAGACCTCCAAGTCAAACACTACATAAGCTGGGGTCTACAAGGAATCGACATTCAGTCTTGCTATGCTGATTCAACGCTGGCTTGACCTTGACTTGATGCTGGCATTATGCTAGCGCGACGCTGGCTGTGCAACAGAGCTGCGGACGACGACACAAGGGAGGGGCGACGCTGGCCTTGTGCGCCAGGCATGCTGATGTGGCGCTGCCTCTGGTACATGTGGCGCTGCCTTTGGTACATGTGGCGCTGCCTCTGTTACATGTGGCGTTGCATATGGTCTTCGTGGCATGTTGACGTGGCATTGTCCACACTACTTACATGAGGTGACTGGTTGCGAGTCTGTTACATGTGGCGTTGCGTATGGTCTTCGTGGCATGCTGACGTGGCATTGTCCACACTACTTACATGAGGTGACTGGTTGCGAGGGAGAGTAAGATCAGGACTGTGGAGAGATTGTAATACGTACCTGGTGGTCTTCATGATGACTTTGCTCCACAGCTGATGAGGGACTAATTAGAAGTGCCACATGGCACATTGAAGTTACTTCAGATACTCGTTCAGACTGTTGATTACGAAGGTGGAGTTGGAGGAGGGAGCCCGAAGCAGGAGTGGGGATTGTGTTTACTTCCTCTCCTTTGTCTATCCTCCCTCCTCTCTTCTTCGTCTGTGTATGTTTATCTCGTCTCATTCTGTCTGGACATGATCTTGATTATTGAAACTCATAAGGGTGACATCAGCTGTTGACATTATCTGGACTTGCATTGTTGATAACTGTTCTCACAATCTGGGTTCATTACAGATTGGTATCAGAGCATCTCTTCATCGCGACCTGCTGTCTGCCGTCAAGTATAGACGTGGCACCCAGGTAAGTGGGAGGTGCTGGAGTGCAATATGAAACGTGTTTATTAACGCGCGCGGTTGTACCACTAGTCTAGACATGGTAGTAGTGCAATTGTGAGTAACTGTCCCTTGAAGATGATGACAAGGCTACGCTGAAGCTTGAAGATCTGCGTTGGCAACAGGCTGACGGGGCATTGGTACCGCTAATGTGGCATATTGTTTCTAGGCAGGATATGGTGTAACGTGGCACGTGTCTGTGTCGTGATTACCTACTGATTGGGCATTGACGTGGCATGCCAGCAACCAGTGTATGCGTGTGACAAACACACATTGTTGACCTGGCATCCCCCTTGCATACCTCCGGGTTCTTATTGTGCGACATTTGCATGCTAGGTAGGATGAACTCTCTTTGGAAATGTTTGCGTGCCTCTATCTTGACCCGGTTCATACCGCTCTTCTTTTTTCCCATCCCTCTCACAGTCTTTGCCGATGAAGAGGGAGTGGAACTGAAAAGTCGTGGTCAGGTTGATGCAAGGATACAAACTTTGTTGGGTGTCCTTCGCCAGCTGCTCGACGAAATACATGGTGTCTGTCCAGAGGCTGAACAACATGTTTACGGACAGGTTAAACTGGTTGATGCAGACCGCTGAACCTGTTGTTCAGATGATGGAGACAGGCAAGAGGGTAGAAAACCTCATGAGACAAGGACGAATGGTCCTAGATCGGTACGTCGCCGAGAGCCTTGAAAAATTAGACCAGGAAAGAACGAAAAGAATAGCGAAGAAAGAAGAAGTGGTTGGAAGGAGAGAACCGCAATTATCCGTGGATGTGATGGAGGAAAACATCAGGCAATTAGAGAATACATTGAAAGAAGAGAGAAGAAAGGTGGGAGAATACCGGAAATTGAAAGAATAACAAGAGAAGGAGGAAAGAGTGATGGAAATGTCGACGGAAAAAATTCATTATGAACAAGCAGGAAGTGAGGTTGCATCTATTCTTCAGTCTATTATGGTCTACCTCGTTAATCTCGAGAAGAAGATTGACCACAACACCATCGTCATTGAGTCTATGACGAGAATGATGAAAGGGAAAGATAAGGTGGTGTCTGAGGAGGTGGCCAAGGGGGGAAGAAGATAAGAAAGAACCCCGAGAAAAGTTAATGAAGGATGCAATGAAACGGGTCACGCCAGAGAAAGCCGAAGTTTCTAAGAAAGAACCTAGGAAGTCGGATGAGAAGAAGGAAACACCCACCGAAAAGAAAGAAGAACCGACGAAAGAAGTAGAAAAACCGAAGAAGAAAGAAAAAGTCAAGATGAAACTGCCTTTCACCTACAGCAACAAGAAAGACGAAAACTTCTTGTTGTGGATTGCTGAGATCCTGACCTATTGTA